AAGTGAAAATTTCCAGGAGTGCCTCACCTAACCAAATTACTCTGAGAATACATCGACTAATCATCCAGGAGGTGATAAAAAAAAACAACAACATCAAAAGCACCACAGGACTCATTGCCTTCATCTAAACCATTGTTTATGATTTCACGATAAGAAATAGACCGGACAAAATTGGACTCCAGGAACAAGTCTTGCAATAGATAATCGTCTGAAAAGCCTCTGTTGATGTTTTTTCAGAGGCTCTCACCAGAGAGTCAAGCTAGCACCTGGCCAGAGTGGGGGCCCAAAAAGAAAATGAGATTTCTACCATCTTAAAACAACTCTGACCTCAAAAATAGCACAGCACCCACTAACAGGTGTCATGGTGAAGAGATAATCAGTGTTATTCACTTCTCCTGTCAGCAGACATAATGTTATGTCTGATTTGAGCATATGGAAGTCTATGATCACCTAAACTGAATAAATGGTTGGTCTGCAGTATCTTGCAAAAAAATGTTTTCTATGTACAGCACATATTGTACAGTGGAACGTGTAAAGCACATCAAAGAAGATTAAATCGTGTATCTGAAAAGTAAAGTAGTGTAAATAAACAACAACAGTAAAACTGTATTTGTATATATAATAAAAAAAATTATACTAAACAATTTTCAATGACAGTTTCTGTATGTAGTTGCACTTAATGTTTCCTGATTACATTTTGGTCCCTATGACCAATCAGAGCAATCTAAACATAGGTGTTTGTTAATACTTTACTCTGTTTTGATCTCACACGTTGATAATTTTATTTGCACGTGCCTTCTGGGGACGAAGACAAGTGCAAATAAAGTTCTGCTTTAAATGTTGTAAAATGTATGTTGGGTAGTGTTCCAGATCTGATCTCTCCTACAACAAGAGCTCTATGTGGATTTCTGTGGGAAGCAGCATGGCGGGTCACAGGTGGCTGTACACTGTGGGCTACTTTGGCCCACACTGGGCAATGATTCTGCAGGGGCCACTGATTTGCTTAATGTGTTGTTGCTTTTACTGAAGCTGTTGTCTGGGTGCAGTTGCAGTCAGGTAGGGGGAGGAGGGGTTATTAGAAAGCTGCTGGCTGGAGGTAGGATAATTTGCCATTTCTGTACCGAAACGTGAGGATATGTACACAACCTCTCACACATCGTATGTCTTTCTTTGTTCACAAGGATTTTGCATTGACTTCCATTAATTTGTCATTCATTTCTGCAGCCTAACCTCTAACCCTAGCCTCATATTTAACTTAAACTCAATTCACACTTTAATCCTAAACTCAGCCCATAACCCAAAAACACCACTTCTTTGGCTCTGGTCCCCATAAGGACCAGTCGGCCCCCACTTAGTATGTGTTAAATGGTACAGTCTGGTTTGCTGGATCAATTGCCTCGCTCATTCCTGGCATGCATCTTCATGTCATCCATGTAGAGATGAAGCCTAGGCAAAAATTCAGCCTGGAAGACTATTATATTCATCCCACCTGCCCAACCAAGATGTCGTCCTGCACCTCGATTCCAACCAATCGGTGATGGTCTCCTCCTCCAATAATCAAGCGTTGCTCCCTTGATAAGGTCCAGCTGTTCACCGGCGTCCGCTCGTTGGCTGAGCTTCAACCTTCCTCCACCCCTCCTCCACCATCACCCCAAGACTTCTTCAATGTCCATTCAGTCTCCACCATCCTCTCCACCACCAGTGTCCGGGCCCAGGGGGAAAGACGTCTCTAATTTTCATACACACAGCGGCCCATTCTCTCTGACAGCGGTTTTCAGCGCAACGTCTTCCTCCTGGGTCCGAGCGCCAAAGACTTTCATTTGTCAATACCTCTCTCTCTCTCTCTCTCTCTCTCTCTCTCTCTCTCTCTCTCTCTCTCTGTGCATATGAGTCTCTCCAGGTTGAATTGACAGCGAATGATTTCTTCACTCTGAAAACTGTATCTGTGTCTTTGTGACGACCTAAGAGGGACCTTAGAGAACAGCAACATAACAGAACATAAACTTAGTTTGTGCGTCTGCTTTGCAGCTTTCCTTGAAACGGCCTCCAAGTGTGTCCTCCACATTTCCTTTGAGATCCTGGTAAAGATCTTCAGAGTAGCAATGTGCAGTTCCACGTATTCAAGGATTGCGTGGAAATGAAAATCGTAGAATTTCTCGACCTATGTATGTGCTCACATTAACTGTTAGGAGACCTAACAGAAGCTTAGATGTTATGGAGAGAAATGTTATTTGTCAGCAAGGAGACATTTGCCAGTTGTCAGGGGTCTTTCATGACAAGAACTGTTACGCTCGATTGTGCTTCTGGGTGTTGATGGACCAAAGGCAGTTTCTTTTGTAAGTAAAGGTGAATCAAATCAGAGCCTGGTGAGATTCAACTCATAATTCTCAAGATTTTCTTGAACATCTACCATTGTGACATATGCAGGCTGCTGTTCTGTTGTCTTGAACTTTTAGAGTCATGTGGGGTACCGGGGTCCCCTGAGGCCTGGCTTTCTAAAACGCTTCTTCAGTATTGTTCATTCTCATCTTGAGTGGATCTCCTTGTCTTGATGAACAGGAAGTAGAGCGTAGAAGGAAAAACTGTCAGACAGAAAAGCTGTCTACATGAACAGTCAGGAAGTTATGCCTCTAAGACACAGTCAAAACTGAGCACTTACCTGTCAGAGGAGCTGGAAAATATATCATCCATCAGTCATCTAACACATGTCATCTTTTCAACAAATAGAGCTTTAGGAATCACCCTCTTGATACAGAAAATATCCTTTGTGGTGTAAAATAGTGTAAAAGGAACATATTGTATGTTTTTAACTGACTACTAAAAATAGTGACTACAGATCAAATTTGAAATTGTTTTTTTTTTTTAGATGCAACAACTAGTTCATTCATTGAGCCAAGCAGCCTTTCATACATAAACAACGATAAAGGTCAGATTGAATTGCTTTAGCAAACCAGAACTTCTTAAAAATGCTTGAAAACAACAATGTCAACACAGAACCTTCGACAGACCTTCGGCAACATCTGAAATTATTGGTCAAGCTAACTTAAAAGCATCACGGGGAAATCTGGCTGATTTGGAAGTAAAACTCACCAAAATGAGAGGTGCTTGAAAACTTTTGCACAGGAACGTTTGGGGCAAATCTTGGTGTTGTTGACAGAAATAACTTTGACGGAAGTTTGTGCTTGCATGAAAATGTCCACAGTGCTATTACTTGTTGTAAATATCGAGAAATCTGCTGTCAAATTAGCATGCATCTCAAACAAACAACAAAAAAAAAAGTCTCGCGTCCACCTACCTATATTATTATGATTTTATATACTTGCAACTGTTAACCCCTCTTACCATAGAATAAATTACTACTGTATGTGACCGTGCATCCTGTAGGGCTGTGAGTGATTACTTTAGTGCTTTGACATTTGCAACAGCTGTAATGAGGCATGTCTCTGACAGACGTGTCACCACCAGCAGCCTATGTCTCAGCCGCTCAGTTCAACACTGAGTAGGGAGGCACAGTGTGGCCAAACACTGGCATTCTTTCTAGATAATGATGGCTCACCCAGTGGAGAAGCAGCGGGAACGTGTTGAAGTCTCAGACAACTGTGCGCATGTGTGTTTTAGAAAGGAAGTGAGTGAGCGAGGCCCATCGAGAGCCTATGTGAAGTTTTTTTAGTGTGTGTGCGTGCGTACGCGCGTGTGCGTGTGTATACTTGTGCCTGTCATTGCCAAGATGGAATCAGAGACTGGGAGAGGAGGCTGGCTTGGGACATAAAGACTAGGAGTATAAAAATGAGTGGGCCGAACTCGCTCATACAGTCCACCCTCCTGTCAAGTCAAGCAGGGCGACGATTTGCATGTGCACACCAGCCCGCAACAGCAGCCCCAGCGCCTATTCTGCATCTAAATTAACCAGGAAAATCAAGCGCCAGCTCTTTGGAGCTCCATGAAATGTATGCAAAATGTAGCTACTTCAGCAGCAGCTTGTTTCCTCTGCCACAACAGTTGTTTCAGTCCCAGCCGAATTACCACAGCTGTGAAGTGGAGGCATTAGTGAAGATTAACACAGAACTGGCTCATTAGAAAGAAAATCACACTCACTTTACTGTGCCTTGTAAAAGGATTTGCACACCTGGAACTTTTTTTTTTTTTTTTTCACATTTTGGCACATTGCAACACCAAATTACTGTGTATTTTATTGGGATGCTATGTGATAGAATGAAACAAATACAACATACTGGGGGGAAAAAAATTCCCCCAAGTATGTTGGGGGAAGCTCTTTTAAAAATATGTGTTTAAAGAAGTTCTTTGGAGAAATATTTTCAATTCTTATCATAGATTCACCGTTGGACATAGGAACGCAAAGAGGCATTCAAATACATAAATATGCTTAATAAGACCATTGTAATTGAGTCATGGCTGTATGGGTCCTGGTCCTATGAGCAGGTAAATCTCAGTCCCAGAATTTGGACAAAGACTATAAACTTGCCGTCCTTCCATATCGACCAGGTTTGTGAAGTACATGGCAAATAGTTGCCTTGCGAACAGATTTCCCCACCTGAGGGGCAAGTGAAGCTAAACATAAATGCATAAAAGACTTTTCAGAATTTTATTTGCAAAAGAAAAACAAGAAATAATCATTTGTGTCACTTTTGCTCCTTTTCACAATTATATAATGCTGTGTGTTAGTGTAGACTAATTTACAATCTGTAGCCCATAGTATAAACATTTAGGTTTGCAATTTTACTTTCCCAAAAATGTGCAAAAAATGTCAAAGGGGTTCATGGCAGTACATGTGCAGAGAGTTTTAGGTTGGGAGGAGCATTATGAAACCGCCTTGATTTCTGGCATACATATTCAAACACAGATACCCATGTATACATACATTTTACTTTGGCCATGGCTCGTGTGCATGAAGGCATCAATTTCTTATCCCTTTTTGTATGGCAATGGCTAGGGCCCACTTACAGACATACCATTACTCCTTCAGATAGACTGAAGACAAATAAGAGTACAGTGTATTTATTTAAATGTATGAACTACAATTTTTCATTTTAAATATAGAAACTTAATGGCACACCCTTTCCTTTGTTTGCTTCCTGCAATTAGTAGAGCAAAGATCTCTGTTACATTATGAGCAAGTGAGAATTGGAAGGCGAATTAGCAAGTGGAAATATTTTTAGGGAAAAGCGCTCCGATTTCTGTGCAGGTCTCCATGCATCCGTCTTTTAACAGTATAGCAGAGCTGTTGCATCTCACAACCTCCTTCCTCCCTTCCTCAGTTCTCACAAACTGTTCATAATAGCCAGCTCACCGTTTCTCCGGCAAGGTGGCTTTTAGCCAGTGATTGACTGTCACTTTCCCCAGCGGTGGGGGTTGGCGGAGAACAACGTCCCTCCCTGTCTGAGTGTATAGGAACCATGGAGAGGTTACACAGGGGTGTATCAGATACAGTATGTGCTCCCAAGCCTTGAAGAGCTGGTGGTATCAGACAGGAGCTGTCTCTGATCTCAAACCTGCAGAGTCTTGCAAATCTAAAGAGATGTGGCTTTCATTCTTTCTTTCAGATTTTTTTTTCCCTCTTTCTCCTGTGACTCTTAAATGCAGGCTTTCATATGGATGAGTCAGATCAGCAGCGCACATTTAAAAATCAAAACAGTTTCTCTCTCTATGGGTCCCCAAATCCCCTTGTCTTGTGTTGCAAGCAATCACTGTGTGAATATGTAATGTGATTCAGTGGTTTTGTAGCTCCATTTGTTGCATATAGCTGCATAAGACCAGTCATCAGCAAATGTCCAAACAAATCATTTTCTTAAGTCACTTCTCCTCTGATTTTTAATGACCGCAAAACATGTTTTAAAGACCTAGCAGCAAAAAAGGTCTCAGGTAAAAACAGCAGAGGGGGAAAGAAAAAGGAGTGAGTGCTGCTGTTGTTAGTCATCTGTGATCCTGTCACTCAGTGCTGCTGCGGCATAGGGTTTGCTTCCTGTTAACAAGATATGTTTACAGCATCAGCACTGGGCTCCCACCGTCTGCGGGTTTGTGCGTTTATGCTCCCTGTCACTCCCGAAGATTGACACGTCCGCATGTCTGTTAACCATTAACTGGTCAGGAACTGCCATCTTTTTGAGGAGGCAGATAGTGACAGGATCCCTGTTCCTCCACGGCGCTTCCTGGCTGAGGCGGACCTTCCTTTGTCAACGTGCGGAGGGAGGAGTGCGTCTAACCATTAACTGTATTCCTGACGCCGGGCCATACCACTGGGGTGACAAATCGCAGAAGTCCCTGCAGAACTTTTAGGATGGAGAAATATTAACCCCATCTCAGCTGGGGCTCTTCCTCCAACGGCCTGCAGATAAATGAAGAGTTGCTGATCGTTCCATCACCATCAACTTCTCCTTCCTCCCACTCATTCACTCACAGTGCTTGCGTCTCCTCAGGCACTTTTGACAGTGTGGTGTCTTGTAAAGGAGGAAGAGATTGATATGAAGCGAGGTTCATGTGCTGCGCCTGGGTACAGATGAGAGAATGATAATTTATGGACTCATCACTTTGCAGGTCATAAAAACACCATTTTTTTTTTAACAAAGAAAAGCCCTCAAAGAAATTATCATTATGAACGAATGCAGAAGAGTGATTGAAGTTGAACAATCACTTAAATCGAGCCGGCACAATCAAGGGTTTTAATTCGCGGAACAGCTTCTCTACATTTGTGTCTTTCTTCTTCCAGTACAGTAGTGCGCACATATATAAATATATATATATATATATATATATATATATATATGTTTGTTTTTTTTATTCATGCTTTGCCTTGGAAAAGTATTCATCCCACCTTAACCTTTAAACATTTTAGTACTCTACCACCACAAATGTAAGTGAAATTTAAAGTGATTATATGTGTCACATCAACAGTGTGTGACTGCCAAGTGGAAGAAAAATCAAACATAGTTTTCAAAATACTAAGCAAATAAAAATGAGTCGGTTTTGCATTCAGTTGTATTCACTGCCTTTGCAAGACAATGGAGATCCGCTGACAGAATCACTCTACAAAACCTGATGAGTTGCAAGAAGAAAGCCAGCACTGAAAGAAAAGCATAAGTTCTGTTTGCCACAACTAACACGGTGGACGCACCAAACATGTGGAAGAAGGTTGCTTTGAGTTAAATTTCCAGGTTTGCATGCAAAATTGCTGGGTGGTGGTGAAAAATCAACAGTGTGTTTTACCCAGAACACACAGGACAGAGTAAATGTGTTGAAAGGTGCTCTGGTCAGATGAGATCAAACTGAATGTGTTTAGGAATCGAACACAACACAGTTCCCTGACCAGACAGAAACATGGTGGTGGCACCATCATGATTTGTTTTTCAAGGCTCTGCACAGACAGTGAAGCTGGTCAGAGTTGATGTGAAGAAGGAAGGAGCTGCTTATAGAGCAATCCTGGAAAAAGAAAAAGAAAAAAAAAAAAGGCAAACCCCCAAATAAATGCTGCAGTCACTGAGGGCAAAAGGGGGATCTGCAATGCATTGAATCCAGGAGGTTGAATACAAATGATTTCTTTCTTTTTTTAACTTGGAAAAACATGCATCATTTTCCTTCCTCTTCCCAGGTTTGAGCTGCATTATGCTGGACTATCACATCAAATTACAGCGAAACAAAATGAAATTTCTATTTGTAATGTGACAAAATGTGCAAAAGGGGGCCATGAATTCTTTTGCACAGCACTACAATTCACTGTATTCATAATCATTGTGGTTTTTACACCTTCAAAATATTTTCCCCCCCTCCTTCCACCAGATCATAAAAGGGTAAAAGACTCAACTGTTGCCTCCATCATTAAAACCTGCACCCCTTCATGAAGTCAATGCACCTCTGTTGCGTCTCGGCGCCTGTTCTGTAATGGCCGCTCACAACCCAAATGGACTGAAGGGCTTTCATGTGTCCTGAACAGTACACTCCTCTCATTATGGCCCATAGTTATCACACATCAAATGGCCTCATTATTTTCAACAAGGAAAGGAGCGCAAGTGTGTGACCAGTTGGAGCTACAAAGTAACTTCCAAGTTCAAATATTAAAAAAAAAAAAAATAAAAAAAATCAGCACTTCGACTTGTACTATACAACCAAAAGGCTGCAGAGATGAAAGGTGCTGTGTATCCCCTGTCTGGTGCGATTATTAAAAACAAGAAAATATGAACCTTTGTTGTTGTTTTTTTTTTTTTTTTTTTTTCAATTGAACATTTTTAAGCATTTAAGAAGCCAAATGCGTGAGCGTGAATATGCTGTGCAAGATTAACATTTAACCCAAGCACATCTGAACACAACACTCCATAAATGGATTTGCACAATCTGACCGTTAAAGTGCACCAACAAGGTTTTGATTTCACAGCGACCGTTGCATCAGCTCTCAGATGAATTATGCCTATTTATAGTTTTCAAAGCATTTCACATCATTTACATAAAAAGGTCTAATTTAATATAAGCTGACAACAATTTGACAAGGTAAGATCAAAGGTTAAGCTAACACACAATAGCTGTTAAGTCTATTAGCATGGAAATGAATGCAACACCTCCTAATAGCCTGTTGTCATACCTACAGTGAACAGCCTAAATAAGTTGCAGTGAAAAAAATGAAAAGAAAAAAAAAATCACAAGGGCTGTACTTGATAAGACATACTCGTGTTTCTATGACAACATCCATGGCTCAAGCTAAGAATGCAGAGATTTGGATAATCGTTGTCACTGTGATGCATTTAATGTTTGTGCTTGGACAATAATGCTTGTTTAATGTCCAAAGTGCCGCATCCCATTCAGAAATTCAAAATGACTGCAGGGATGTACGACACTGAGCCGCATGCAACACGTTCCCCTTTCAGCGTAGTCTTATTTAGAAAATTAATAGAACTACTTGCACAGGTGCGAGATGCATATCTCAAACACTGAAATAGTTCAATGGTGACGGTTTTTTTAAGTTATTTTTTCTGTACCAGAGGAAAAAAAAAATTCAACATTGTTTCCATGTTAATTTATTAGTATCTAAAAATAATACAAGTTATTTTTTTTAACTAACTGGCATTATATAATCTAATTATTTTAACTGCACTGTGCTACAATGATGATCATGTTGAATTTCATCTGTATGTCACATTATAACTGTGTTGCATTGGAATACATTTTCCTAATGTGACTTCAAGATTTTATATCCAGATCCTATGAATAGGATCTGGATATAAAAAGCCTTTAAAATAGCTTTGATGCAATGTGGAGTCACTCAAAATAACTGAATTACAGGTTAGTGACAACAGATTAGAAAAAAAGATTCCCCACAACAGGATCTACAAACCGAATAAAACAATGAGCTGGAGGAAAACACCTTCAAATTTTACCGAGTATAAATATTTCAAAACGTGCTTTACTCATGCAAAGTTGAGAATTTCATTTGTTGGTGTCTGTTCATAAATAGGTCTTGCTGTTGGCAAAGCTGCAATGAATCAGTGAGAAATTAGTCAGGCAGAAGTAATTTAAAGATTTATTGTTTTTGACCATTGCTTCAGGTTGTACATTTTACTTGCTGGATTGCTTTGGTAATGTATGGCATACTCACAGTGGACCAACATTGTTTTGTGGTGAATGTGATAATGACTTTCAAGCTGTTAGCCTGCAGTTTCATCACATTTTATCCCTTTAATGACTATAATTGCCTCTCGAGGTGATATATTGATATTGGCCAAGCTCCTACGAGCTGTGTGTTATTCCATTGTGTTACTCTGAGTGTTAACAGACAGCAAAAAAGCCCATTTGACCTTGTGATGAAGCAAGAATTTTCTCATGCGCCGAGGAAGCCAAACAGACTGTCATTTTGCACAGTGAGCGGTCCCTGAGTACAGTCAGCGCATTGATTTGTAATAAAAATATCGGCTCACTACTAATAGCTAATGGATATTGATTTCAAGTCATTCATACAGGTTGAATAGTTGTAGCTTTTTTTCGTTTGTTTAAATAATT